TTCACGGTCGTTGTGATCGCACACACGACATTAATATTAATCGAGAGAGCACTAGCGTGGAAACTCCGGGCGGCAATTACGTTTGACATTCTTCTGTTGGCCACTTGATCTATGATAAATTGAACAAAGAGGAGGATCACGATATGGAAGCCCATTTGAAAAATGATCTAGCGCACAATGTACACGTTCATTGTAATAACACGTTTTCACGTATCCTAAGCGTTTGACTTTGGTCTCTAATGAACACAAACGCTAACAGCAACAACAACAACAACAACAACAACAACACTGATAAATTACAGACGATGCTGTACGGCAGCGACGGAATCCGCCAAACGTCGTCGTTCTATAATTTCGGTGTTTTTTACTGCCGAGTGCTTAAAAACCCATTATGTCGGTCCACGTAACGCCGCCGCCCCCCTCATAGCGCACGGAACAGTTGGCAAATTGTTAGACCGCCCGCCCCTCGCCGACCCGATACGCGTTTATCCCGAACGCCGTTATTTATCGGTGCACGTCGATGGTGCGCGTGTAACGAGATTATTTACTGCCACCACAATATTATACATTTCTGTAATTACACCCGACCATTGTACAATGTTCACGATCAACCGTTTTAGACAGTTGATCTGATTTACACAAAACGAGTTTGTTGCCTTTAGCTCATGTACGCGCGCACAGGCTACTTATTTTGCCATATCCGTTTACTCGGGTTTCTCGTGCGTTTCCGATTATTATTATTATTATTATTATTTTTTTTTGGAATCGTTTCAATGCCCTCGCCAACAAACCGTTTGTCTCTCCGGTTACTCGGCGATAATTATTTACCGATGACAATACAAGTCTATGCGGTCGGGGGATAACGTATAACGCGAGACGTTCTGTATGGTTTATTGTGTACCGTGTGGTTAGTTCGACTGTGGCGAACTTTAAGTCATAACGCGCCGACCTCAGTGCGCTCGAAACTCAAATGGTGTCTGCGTACTCAAGACGCTCGTAGATATTGCAGACTTGTCGCGCAGATGTACGCGGCAACCCGCCGAGTTGGATTTCTGATAAAAAAATGCCAGCTGGCCCACTGACATCTGGGCCTAGGTAAACAATCGCGCATTGGGTTTTCAATCCCTACGTACATATTGCGCACGTCTACTCGGAAAACACTTGAAACCGTATTTTCGTACACCGTTTTTTTTCCCCGTTATTTAATCCTTTCGGTTCCCTGGGAACTCGGCGCGTAACCCCTTCTTCGTCGTACACACATTCGTTATTTCGTCGACGAGGGTTTAAACGATAGCGCCTGACAGAAGTGCATAACACAGCTGCTCCGTGTTACTCTCGATGTGTGTGTAATCAGATTGTTAACGCAAAAAAAAAAATAGATCTCTTTGTTTTCGAGTTGAACGGGCGACGACACGAGATATTCGCGGGCGCAGATGAAAGAATTAGGCGAGAAGCAAACGTACAACGTGTCCGGACGTTGCTGGAACTCGGTCCGACGGCCATTAAAAAACGGTCGTGTTCGATACGTTTCAGTAATTATCGCAGCCGCCGATGTTATGTCACTGGGAATCGTCGAGCGAACGTTGTGTGGAATCTCTCGGAGGACGAACATCTTTTCGCATAATTTTTCAAATGTAAGCGGTTACGTCACTGGAATCAATACACGCCGAGTATGGCGATAGTTTTGATTCGCCGAATAAGGCGATTGTTGACGAACGAAAGCCACGTTTACATTATTTTATTCTTTCAAGTACCAACAGGCACGTTTATTTCATTTTGATTTTTTCCCTTAAGAAGTAAAACACGTGCACGCCGCCCGCAATACAGTAGTCGTTTTACAAAATAAAACGGGTCACATATTGTGTACACTAATAACACATTGTGATAACGACGCCGAGGAAAACGACGATTTTTATCGATTGGCTCTACTACCTATTGTGTGTGTACCAAAGTGTGTCGGGTCTTTAATAATCGTTACCGGTGAATATGAAATTTGTCGGGAGACGAGCACGAGGCACTTAATACGCTTTTCCGAGAAAACGGCGGGTACTTAAAACGAACAAGATGATAATTGTGGTTGCCGCGATTTGCACAGTGTGTGCGTGTTAAAAAGTGTTGTATCGATCCGGAAAAATTCTCCTTTTTCCGGGGAACGGGGTAAACGGTGCGGACGAGGATTCCTAGAAAATGTTCTCCGAGTAAACACACAGGCGCGTAGTACGCGGGCTGATTATACGGTTCGACGATCCGTTCATTGTTCGAAAAATGGAAAAGTATATATACATAACTCAGTTCGTCCTACGCGTGCGAGTCACTCGTGTGGAAAATATTCCGTTTGGACCGCATTGTTCCCGGCGCTTACGATCAACACTTGTAACGCCGTCCGTACTAACCAGTCCGGTAGAACTGTGTCCGTTTGCCCGGACTCTAGTTAAATTGTCGCGGACCGTCAATTTGATGAGATGACATCTGTTCCATCGCGCGGAGATTATGTGTGCCGAGAACGTTTAGACGGCGGACAGGAAATTTAAAAATCGGTCGGCAATATTATTTTAGTTGTTCAAATTCGCGGATAACATTAATTTTGTTTTTTTTACTTACAACACTGCCACAACTGCCATGGTACTACTTTCATTAGACCGAGTGTACATTATTCAATGCGAAATCATTTCTCATCCGTTTATTTATTCGTGCAAAATAAATTAAACGAGGCCGAAAAATATCATTCGTTTTATTATTATTTTTTTTTTAATTTTAGGGGACAAACTTTTAGTGTATGCGAGCCGTTAATCTTTTTGTCACTTCAAGGACTCGAGTGTGAACAAAAAATCCGTCGGCTCATTCACACGCTGCAGCAGCTATCTAACTCTATCATCTTCCTATCGAATCCTTCTCGTCGGTTTTTATTTTTTTAGCGTTTTTATTGTCGAATGCAAAAGTATCCAGCCGAGTTGCTGACAATAGACCGCGGCGATATCTTGTCAGCTGCTTGGTAGTTTTCGCAAACTCATTTATTGGGCGGGTTGAGCGACGTCCAAGCACGCATTGCAGCACACGGTGGGAATAAAATAGGATGTCATCCATTAGTCCCCTTATAAAAAACGTAAAAAAATTCTCCCGGTCCCAGGATATTATTTATAAAAAAAAAACCTCTCGTTTATATAGCTTTTAACCTGTTCAATTGATCGCCCCATGAAATATATTATTGTGTATAATATAATAATGAGGATATCAAACTGCTGCAGCCGAAGGGGACACACTCGCGTGTGTGTACAGTTATTAACAGTTTCCACCGCAAATAATATTTACCCGTTTTACGGAATCCTTCGTCGAGATAAATTTTTTTCGAAAAAAGATCGAGGGGGACAAGTGCGTCACGGGGGTCGAGGGCCCGGACCCCAGTAATTCATACAATGTGATGATTCTCCCCGAAAATCGTGTACGTGGATTAAGACGGTAATGACGGGAACGAAACGTAACCGAAGCACTCCAAGTTTCGGTTTTTTTCCTCCTCGTTGCCCTGCCCATAACAGTGTCGCATTACAATCGTATTGTGCTCCACTTTTACGGGTCCTCGGATCACAATAGGAAACGGATTGAACTCGTCCACGCGAACGGCACACGGTGGTGAAATGCATATAAATTTCATCCAGTTGTCTGTGAGGTTATTTGTCCGGATACCGACAGCCGGAGGAGAGCCCCAAACGGTACGATGCACGACGCGTTCGCAGTAGTATTGGTCGCAATCATTTCCACTGTTTTTTATGCAAGCCATTTCCAAATTGATCGAATTAACCGCATTGTAGCCTCTTGTCTTTTTACCGTAGAAACGCGTTACGATTATTATTAGCATAAGCAAAACACACACGGCCCGTTTTGGTCTATTCTTTTTGGTGCACCGCAAACAGACGTCGTCGAATTGGCCGTACGACGATGAGCTAAGTCACGTTTGCGCGGCGTTGTGTTCCGAATACGTCAAAAAACCGTCGGTTTTTTAAATAATAAATTTTTTTTTTTATTTTTCTGTTTTGTGGCTTGATTGTACACGACTTGTGGCGTTGGGAAAATAATTATTCTCTTCACGATTTGCGCCAAAAGAAAAAAAAAAAAAAAAAATAATGCCACATAAACGTGTTACGTTCAAAGACGATAGTAAATATAATAAAACGGATAACGAAAATATATGAAACACATTTTCATTACGCATAATAAATACTGTAGTGCTACCAGTGCCAGTGGCGTTTATACAACACCCGATACAACAAATATAAAAACATAATAAAATATATTACGAAAATGCGCTTATCTCTTCGGCCGCCGCACTCGTGACAGGTACACAAAAATTGCCCCAAAGGCGTTGCTCGTATCTCTATACACAGCCGCGTTTTCAATGCTTATGAAGTGCACGATTTTTTTTTTTTTTTTTTTTTTTCTTTTATTTTTGCTTTCGTGTTTACCTTATTCCACGTCCGACTGTGACACAATGACTAATGTGTTGCTTATGTAAATACCACAATATACTATTTCATACACGCCGTCGTCCCACACCTCTCCTGGAGGTACTCTTTCTGCGTTCTCGCTCCTGTACGACACCGCCATTGCGTTCTCTCGCGCACATTGAATCGCCCCGTATAGAAATGATAATAATTATTGTTATCGCAATAAACGGCTAATATGTTATTTGTTTTGTTTTAGGACGCATACTGGAATCGTTGGCTGCCAGAGGCGTGGGACTGTATCCGGCACTGAGTCTGCCGCTATTGCAAGGCCTACACAAACCGCCCAGCACGTCGTCGGCCAGCCCTCAGTCCAGTCCGGCAAACTCTGCACCGTCTTCGCCCGTTCAAAAGGTAAATTTTGTGTTAAAAGTTATGTCGTATGCCAATGTTGACGATACTCATTAACGGCGTAGTGAACAAATACTGCAAAGCTCTGAAGTTGCGCCTGTTGGTTTACCGCACGTCGGTTACGATGGCGACAAAAACGACACTGTGTCTCTCGGCACATAAGCAAACCGCTGTGCTTGCTTAATAATTGGCCGGGTTGGTGCGACCTTCGAAATTGGCTGGCCTAAACCAACCTGATGGTTGAAAAACAATAATAACGGAAACCGGAGGACGAGTTTAGAGAATTTCACATTGATAATCAATATCGTTTATCGTGATATCAGACTTTCTAAAAGTTTAATTAATCAATTGAATAATGACCCGTAGCGATATTTAAATTTGCCGTTGAAATCGACGAGCTAAAATAATCCGTTTGCGCGCGTAACTTTTTGTGTAATTTTTTATCCGTGTTGAACATGAGGTTTATTACATTATGCGCGACGTAATGACGTCTAAAGATTATGCGCAGGTCGCAGTAGTAAACTATAACTTTATTCGAATTGGCGTCGTGTGTTGTGTTTGCAACGGCAATAGTAATGTGTCAAACCCCATACGTCGTTGTAGTTTACAAACATAATCGGCTGAAGAGTTTATTGATCTTTGGCGGCGGTCTGTCGTCTCTCGTCCGATGGACGTTTGTCACAGACGCGCGACAGCGACGACTGTCACCGCCGCACCCTCACCGATCCGACAATTGAACGTGGCGCGCGCGCGCGCGAAACGAAACGTCGCCACTACAACGCTATTATTATTATTATTATTATTATGGTGCGCGACAACGCGAACAAGACGAGAGAAAAAAAATACTGTCCGCGTGATTTGTGTGACACGGTGACGACGGCGATGCCCACCGCCGGTGTAGTAATTATCGTGTAATTATTTTAACGAGACTGGGCGCGCGCCATCTCACACGAAATACGCCCGGAGAATAATTTGATCACAATAACTGCGTATTATAATTATATACAATACACGGTCGTGTCGTACCGTAAAAAATGCGTGTGCACTTTACAAGGATCGGCCGACATTAGACGAGGCGTACAACAATATTGTAATAATAAACGCGCTGTGTACACACAAGCGACACGGGCAGCCGTTTAACGACGTTAAGTCGACGATCGACGGCGGCGGCATTGTGTGCAAATCGCGGCTCTAGAAAGCCAGCGACGAACGGGTGTGCCGTACGGACATTAAATGTTCGTGAATACAAAAGCGTGTAGAGGGAAAATTAAAAAAATAATAATAATAACAACAGATAGGAAAATATTAAACTGTGATTGCCGCCGTATGGCTGTTGCCGTGTGAATATTAACGTGAACCGTTTTGCGACGGAATCGACAATTCACATCGGCCGCGTCAGCCAACGTACGCACAGTTTCAAGACCCGTTAAAGCGTCAGCGTGTAAAAATACCATAATAGGCGCGAGGCCGAAAGCTATTCCTTAAAATTGGTAATTAAAGCGCCGGTAACGACCATATTTATTAAAGACTAGCTGTCTTCAGGCGTTTTTACAGCGATGTTCGCAAGTCCCCGACGGTTTTGGGCGCGAAACTTTCTAAATTTTTATTTTATTGCTATGACTGGCCGTTATTGCGCCGTTAACGAGACTATCCGAGTAAACGACATTTCGAGATGTTTGCCGTGTATCGTTTGCCGCCGACGGTGTATAATAATTGTCGTTGTGTACCTACACGGCCGCCATTGTACTGCTCTTATTGTGCAACGCTGACACGAGGGTCACATTATTATGCCTGATTAAATTTATTTCGGAATAATTTTTTCGCGAATAATAATGCAAATGTTTGGCGTGCAAAAATTACACGTTTAAACGACAAACCCGATAGAATACGAGAAAAAAATATACCGCAGCAATACACATATGTTATCGTGCACAGCGTACAATGTGATTTTTGAAGGGCATTAGTAGTTTATTTGGACAACGTTACCACTGACGTTTTGCACGTGTGCGAACGTGTAAAAATTGCATAACGCGACGACCGAGCGTCTGTGCGAATTTCGCGCTACACTGTGTTCGCCTACGGTCGACAGGAAATCCTGCGATTTCCTGTCGACAACTCCGAATTTCTCATGCACCGCGTTATTATTATTATTATTATTACAATTACGTTTGTGTAAGCCTCGTGTCACGGCTGTCCATGTGAACGTCCATGCGGCGGTCAAATGATAATTAGTATTACAATTATTATAATCCGATACAGAAAAGTGGTGGTTTTGTTTGGAAAATATACAAAATACTTTTTAGATGGTTATCGGGGTTTTTATCCAAAAACCGGAACGAATTGAATTTATTACACTAATGTACTATTTTATTGTAATAAAATATTTCGCTGTTTTATTTTCTTTACGTGCGTGTATATTTAATTGTTATTTTACTAAGATAATCATCAGGTCAGGCGGTAACGTTATACACCACACGAAAATTTATTATGCGTCTTTAAGAAGTACAATACTGTTCCGGTCGGTCGATCGTCCGCCGTCGACAGCAGCAAATCCTCAACCTCGAAATTCTCAGATTACAATAGGCCCCCAAACGCTGTTATTAGTCGTACGGCATGTTAACCCAAACGCGCTCTCGGCGGACAAACACACGCCCAAACGGATTTTTCAACGCTAAACACTCATTTGTTTCGAAAGTGTATTTTGTTAACGTTCATTAATCGCAAATATTGATTTTTCCCTACTCGCTTTCGGCCATGTTAATTAATGCTAATCAACCGTCGAACTAACAACAAAGAAATAATATATGGGCGTATCGATGGCCGTGTGACGTTTAGTCGTAATTATAACAACTCCAATTTTTATTATGACGGTTTATTAATAACATTGTATTAGCGCGCTGTTCTAATGCGGGTCAATCATACGCTTGTTTTTTTTTTAGCAAACCAGCTGAACACGGTCGGCAACGTATTGAAAACACACCGCAGGCCGGCCCACAGTTTACTTATTGAAGTAATCGATAACACGTCAATAGAAAACCGCTTTCTTTTGATCCGACTAGACACAAACGATCGTACGTTGGCGTTTCTTGGCTGTCGATGGTCAGGTGGTGACGTCTCACTCCGATCAAAAGTTGTCAACTGTTGCAAACGGTTGACACTGCCAATCGGACCATCGAATACCGTTTTCCTCGCCCCACCCCAACCGACACTGTTCGTCTCTTTGGTTGTGCGCCTTACAATGTCAATTTTCGAAAGTCCGCCAGACGATTGCGATCGACGATGTCTTTTTCATTGTCGTCGAACGACTCGGAAGGCTTTGCCCGGCGAGCACACTCCGACCGCTGTGCAATGTTTACCGACTCCGGTACACGTATAAGAGGCAACACGTCCGTCAATAAGAGGTCACTTTCTAATATTTTTCGGTCAAAAAATACTACTCGGACGCGAGTTGTACCGTTTTGACGCGTTTCGACGGTGTGAGTTTGTCCGTTACACGCTCAACTGCTACTTGCCCACCTACCGGTTTTCGGCAATCCATTAGCCTCGTCGGTCATTTGCGGGCGCGTGTGAAACTAATGTTTTTCTTTTTTTTAATGGTACACCGTGACCGGGTCGATTGATGACGAACGCCCCCGGAGACGACACGCGTTCCCCGAAACGTCTGACAAGGCGGTGTCATGACAATATTTTCCCCGAGAAAGTAGAAAAGAACAATTAACGCGTTTCCCGCGAAACCACCGAATTCGTCCGTCGCATTTCTAACAGGCGGTTTTATTAGACGAAGGCAATGCCGTTGCGATGGGCAAATTCATTAATCGACACACGTTTGAAATGCCAATAAAAGTCCTAAGACGGCACACGTGTACTCTGCTCGTCTAGAGTACCCGAAATAAGCAGTACGTGCAAAACTGCGGCGACAATAAAAATATGATGTTTCACATGCGACCGGCTCTCGTGTGTCGTTTAATTTCTTTTCAACTCGTAAAAACGTCAAAAAAACTACAGAAACGGCTCGTTTTTTTTCCCGTTTCATTCGAGTATTGTTGGTTTTTTTTTCCGCATAAAGATGTTTTTTTACCATCGCCGTGCGGGTTACCGACGAAACGCCAATGATTCTCGGTAATGTGTGCGCGTCGTCAATGTCAATCAAAATAATAATTATGTCTGCTGATTTTTTACGAACAATATACCTCAGCGCGCCATATTATAATACCATGTAATTATTAATTTTCTTGCTACAACCAATGCATTGTACTGTCGTTGGAACACAACAATACCTATGCGTTCCATGCGAAAGTCGTCGTCGCCACCGCCACTCATTGTCTGCACATACAACACACACAATGGCAACCGTCGGCGTGGTGTGTGTGTGTGTGTTATATATTCGCAATATGTGTAAAAATCGTCGAAAATCCTTGACGAGGTTACGTCAATCGACCGCAAAACATCACCATAATACAGCAGATCGGTAACGCGAAAATGATAATAAAAAAACAAAGCGCGCAAAACGGCTCATAAATAAATTCGGCGAAACACGTTAAAATTATGGCTCGACGTTTGTAGGAGGAAAAAACACAAAATATTATGACCTCGAGTGCACTATCTCTGATCTACAACTGTTAATATATCATTGGGACTTATGGTGTACTTATGCATCCGCAATTTGTTATTATTCTTTAGAGATCCTCGTTGTAGTGCGCACGAGTCGGCCGTTAGACTTGAGCGTGTGTAGCACATTTTTTTTTATTCCACGATATTACAATCTCCCGCGGATTTATTATTATTATTATAACTTTTTTACGTTCCCGTCTGTTATGTTCGCATTGTTTCTTGACAAAAAACACATGCCGAATGCCCCGGAGTATAAAAATTCAAATGATTTCACGGAGTGTCTTCTCGCGTATGTTCACCGGAATTGATGAAAAGAGCTGCAGCGCGTCGTTTACCCCTTTTCGCAGTTAGGTAAAAAAACGTACGCATAAATGAATAGCCCAAAAGAGGCGGGCAGGTGAGCCGTCGATTATTTTCGTACTTGGACCTTTTTCACCTAGTGCCGGTTCTAATAAAATATTATATTATTCACCCCGAAAACCAGACGAGCATTCTCTTCTTTTTTTTTCCATTNCGGTTATAAATTCACCTAGTGCCGGTTCTAATAAAATATTATATTATTCACCCCGAAAACCAGACGAGCATTCTCTTCTTTTTTTTTCCATTCCAAACGGTATAAACTATAATAGTAATTATGACGTGGTCCCCTTTACTTTGTCATTGCCATAATATTGTACTTATGTAAATTACGATTTCGGCGTACCTCACGCGAAGCTGCTGTGCACAGACACTCTGTATAATAACACTATTAATAATAACATCATGGGTTGCACAACTGTAATAAAATAATTTAACGGGCGTGCATAGAATTATGGAGGAAAACTCAATACGCCAAACGGCGGTGTAATCTCCTTATACATGTAGAAACTGTATACAATTGGAATCGCGCTCGGATACAACGTTGCAAAAAATAAATATCTTATATTACCACATATGCACATTCAGAATTGAAACGGACTTGGCGTTTTACATTTACATTACAAAAACTTGGAATTTATTGACATGCACACAGTTTTATCACGTGTTATTTCGCATATCGGTTAGCAAACGTTGTTTTTTAGTGGAAAACGTTGCGCTCTGCGGTGCCTAAGTAAGGGAGAACTCTCCCTTACTTAAAATATAAAATATAAAACATTACTTAAAACGTAATGTTCCCCACTCGATAGTTTTTTATCTGTGTACAGGCAAACATAAAGTTGCATAAGAGAAACTCATAAAAGTCGTTGGAAATTGTGTCCGTTTGGACACAAAAAGCGACCTTTGCAACGTATCAAACGACACACAATACACATGACCGCGTTGAATAGAATTGCAATCAGATTTTTATTCTTAGCGTTCACCAATCAAACCCCACGCGCGTTTAAGTGTACAGTGTTAAGGAGCGATTTCATCTTATGTAGACAAGTGACGGACATTTTTTTTTGTTTCAGCAATCGGCCACTTCTGTGATCGTGTCTGTGCCCCAATCGATTCACCACAGGGAAACGTCTTCCGGAATAAAGACATCGTCGACGACGTCGCTGGGCGTCCAGACCCTGTCGTCGGTGGCCGCTGCACCAGTGCCGACGACGCCGACCTACACCAACAACCAAGGTCAGTATGGCTGTGCGAAACAATTAAAAATAAACGACGACGACGAGTGGGGGGGGGAATATATATACTCTTTGTTTTTGGCAAACGTACCTGTAACCTCGTTACGGCGAGCGCTGAGCACGGCACCCCTCTCCTTCCGCGCCCCGTCGTCTATTTCGGGTGTTTAGTTGAAATAAAACGTGCATTGTTTTTCTGGGAGTGATCCGCCGGTATTTGTGTCAAGTCATCGGCCAACAGCCGTCGCGAACAAATGTCGGTGTTTTGTGAACAATGCGGGAAATGCGCAACCGCTGGCCACCGGCGAAGGTCAAATACCACCTTTTCGCCCTTTTTCAAAAATAAATCCTACTGCCAGCGCTTTTGCAGGATCAACGAACCCCGGCGGAATCCGGCCGTTGATTACGATTTTTTTATTTTCAATCTTGGCATTATCTAGGATTTTTAGCTATTTCCGCGCGAACTCATCGCCTCGGCCGACCGTTTGCAAGTTGGACGCACACGAGTAGTTCATAGAGACGCCCCGTGCCACTGCAAGACAGCAACCGTTCGACCGAACCCGGTGTTGTGTTAACGGTGAAAAAAAAATGTATGCGCTTGTTTTTTTCCGACTTACCCGGCCGATTACGAGTATGGAAATTCCGGACAATCGGAATGGAGACAGCGCGTAATCCAACGTGGGAAACGCACCCCCTTTAAATTACAACGATATCGTTGTAACGTACTTAAGCGCGCTCGGTTTAGTTTCCACAAAATGCCAGAAAAACGATCCCAACGTAACCCGATTCTTTTGTGTTGGACGCGCGTGCAGCCGGTCATTGTTTTCCACCAGTCCGTTTACCTATACGAGACCTTTTCCTTTTCACCCCGAGGCACGTTTTTTCTCGCTTTGTTCTCTCGAGGACGACTCGCAACGGATTTCCGTAAATCTACAAGTGAAACCATCCGAACGTAAACTCGTAGACATCGTTTATCGGTACGGGATTTCGTTTTTTTACCTTTGAGTTTTCTTCGGGCCAACGCATAGGCCTGCGGAATGCGACGATGTAGTCAATTGTGAATTTCTCGGTAACGCCCCGGCGTTGTGAATATTATTGTGTACATTAGCCCATAATACGGCATTCGTATCAATCTAAATTGATTAACAGAACCAGTTTAGAGCAATAAAGACCAATTGTACCGTTTGTCCGCGCATCGTCGTCGTTTCCTCCGTTTAACCCGTCGGCCGGCCGGCGCAGGCGAAGGGAAACGCGATGGCACGGGGTCGGCGGAGAACGAAATAATAAAAGAAAACGGTAGTAATGGTAATTGTTGGGGGAAAAAAAATAAAAAATAAAGAATTCGTGTAGACGACGAAAAAATCAAAGTGTATATATTAACAGCACTTTAAACGCGCGGTCGCATATTATGCGGGACTTGACAATTTAGCAATCAAGCACAATGGCCGGTTTTAATGAACCACTTTTCGGACGATTTACTGGTTGCCCTTAGGTTGCCACCCATCGTCTAGAATATGATTGAGGTTAAATCGTTATTATATTTAAATCAAAGTCCGCTGGGAACACAAATCCGTGTAGTGTGTGTACGTCGGATTTCTCTCTTCTTAATTTACTCTAATTACCCGAACGCATGCGTACCATGTAAATTCCCATGTTTTTTTTTTTTATTTTTTCCATTACATTTGTTCGTGTGCGCGCGGCGGCCCAATCAACTCGATTATTTATTGCTCCGATACATACGAACATATTCTCGACTAGACTAGAACGACGTCTGATTTCCATGTACCGTGTCGGGTGCCGGTAGTCGGCTGCACTGCTGTGGTACGACAATCGCACGATTACCGAGTGCATAAACTTTACCTGTAAACAGGTGTTTTTTTTCATCATTTCGTTCTAAACAACGGTTTGTTTCTAATAAAAATCGTTCACCTCTGGTGTAAAAACCATCGGACACACCGGTCTTATGTAACCGCCATTCTCTAAATAGTTTTATAAAGTCTAATCGAGTTCATCCGCTATCTACTGTGTCTGAAAACGGTTTATTTGTTCTCCGTCGCTTCGGATTCGATCGGAGCTTTTGCGACTTGTTTGTGCGAGACGTAAAAAATACACGTGGAACCGCAAAACGATCGTTTACACGCGTCACCCCGTCGTGGGCAAAGGGGTGCAGCCGTTCCGTTTCCGTGTGCATGAATTAATATCATCGGCAAGTGTAAACATAAATGCGCGACGGAGGGTAAAAAAGGACGACGAGTGCGTGTCACTCATTCAACAGGGTTTCGGTTTTTTTTTTTCACTCTCGTATATTTTTCCTTAAAAAATAAAAAACCTCGTACACGAGTAATAATGATAAAAACACGTGTAAACGAGTCCCCCTCCCGTTCCGACCAGTGCCGCCGAACTTGGCACACAATGTCAGCAACGGCAACGTGCCAGGGCCGTTATCGCATTCGTATTCCTATTGTTTTATGTTAACGCGGAGGCCATCCTTAGGCTCGGCCGACAATACTGGGCAACGAAAAAAAATAATAATAATCAACCGCCGATAACACACATAATGAAAAAACTTAACGTTCAGATTAATATAAACGGTTTACATTGTTTTGACGCGAAAAAAACTTGCTCCTTCCTTTGTTATATTTGCCAGGAGATTTGTTTTGTTGACAATTATTGGTTTGACGACGAAACAACGATAACGTTTGTTGAGTTTCCAACTGCTGTCGATTGGCGTTCTTTACTTTTCTACACACAAATGTGTAGATTGCCGCGCGATTCGGGAGCGGTCAAATTTTATTAATTTGTACTTAGGAATTCCAAAGCGGAGGTCATTACGCATTGTCGTCACGTCTCTACCACGGCACAAGTCCACTTTATCCGCTCGTTTTTTTATTTTCAATTTTAGAAAAAATGTCACGTTAAAGATTTCATTGGCGCACGTAACCGGCTGTGGTTATACTCGGCCGAGCATCGCGCGGATATAACGTAACGCCCGCAGGTTTGTATAGGCGCCCTGGCTTTTTAATACATGACAAACGTACGTTGAAATGATAATTTGCCATTATTGTTTTTCCGAAAACGCATAGGTGCCGGCAACACGTACCATTAGGTGCCATTTAAAATCACTAATTGATCGTCAGCAACGGAGTGTGTTTTATTAATCGGCTCCATCGGATTCGGGTCGTCGCGGGGCCGTTGTGTGGCGGTATGCGCATACACGTCATTCTAAAGTGACATTTTGTCACCAAAACGGTAGTTGGTCGTGTGTCACTCGTATTTTCAGCAGATATTGATGATGATATGCGCTCATTAACATATTACGAGCTTGCCGCCTTTGAAACACCTTTGTGTTTCTATCGTCGCGCATAAAAATAACGCTGCCAGTTTGCATTGCGATTACATTATTCTCCGACCGGCACAAATATTTTGTTTTTTATTGACGCTGAATATACGCGAAAATGACATTTTTTGTCTGTCCACTTGCAAAAATTATTCGCGAATATCGTTTACATAAATTGAGACCGCGATGGCCTTACAGATGTCATCGGTAAACGCGCTGCCCGACGAGCTAGGCGCTGTTTTTTCCATACCCTCGTGTATCGAATACGTTGTAAAACAGTAAACACATTTTCTCATCTCTGTGGTTCGAAAATTATTTTTCATAAATTGACAAGTGTTAATTCGACTCGTTCGCCTGCTGCCGCCGCCGGCCGATCATATCAATTATTATTGTGTTTACTACAATAATGTCGAAAAAATAACGTTAATTTTTTTTTTTTTTTTTTATTGTCCTAAGGTAATTAAATATTTACGAATTCATCAGTAATGCGCTTGATTGCTTTTTTTTAATTATTACTATTTCTATAATTTATATTTTTATGATAACTGATTCAAGTGTTGTGTCGACTGGCCCATTGTCAATTTTCGGTTTACTGTTCATATGTTTTCCACACAATTTGCTAGTCTCTGAAGTAATTTTTTTTATTGTTCTATTGGATGGCATATGCGTTTAATTTTCCACCTAATTATAGTGTCGTGTGCACACATATGAAAAAAACCGTTTACACAACATTAAAAAATAATTAAAATTTAATACGATGTATAATAAAGTTACACAAAATTATATTTCTGAATAAATATTTGACGGATCCGTAACAATGTCAACAGATACCTGGTAACTGCTCCCACCGGATTGACGAAAAATAGTTATTAAAATGAAAATTATTCATAATTAATTTTGCATAACTACCGTCAACTAATAGATTCCACGTTGACATTATGATATTATATTTGTGTTAAGTATTCAATATTATTACGACCAATCGGCTGCCCTTGGCAGCGGTCATAATTTGTCTACTATTTTACATAAAAAAAAAAAAAAATTACAAACAACACAGCTCGGGCGAGGAACCGAAGCGTACAGTTTTTTGATTTTATTAAGAAATATTTTTAAAAGACTATTTCCCCCGGGGCTAATCTTCAGAAATAAATTTATGCGTTTTGTTGTTTTCCTACGTGAACGTTTTACAATTACAAAATCTATTATAATTGTCTTTGTGAAAATATTCCATTGATATTTTTGAATTCGTTACAATTTCCACTAACAACGGTTTTTTTTAATATTGGATCTCATTCCGTATTACTCGATGATAGTCTTGTTGTTTCGACCGTCTTCCATTGACGATGACTTTCACTATTGTACGTCGAAAAGTCGAGGGATTACAAGAAAATACCGAAGCGGCGCGACGCGTGGGCAACACAAACGGAGACCGTTCGCGGCCACTTGTTAATTAAACACTATTAAAATAAAACGTACCGTGCGGCGATTGTTCGATCTCGTTTTTTATTGTCGTTAAAAAAAGAGAAAATCTACATATAATACAGTTGTACTGTGTGTTCAAAAATCGCTTTGCCACCGCACAAGAACTCCTGGGCCGCGTTCGACGTGTGCGGCGCGGCCAAATATGATATACGGTGGTGAACAAACGTTTGCGCTTAATAACTTTT